GAGAGGCTGTGAATGGGTAAACATCTATGGTCTGTGGTGTCTCCACTGTTCTACGTGTTGGGAACATCTGTGGATATTTATGTCATTCTGAGTTCTCTCTCCTCCTTCATTCTGCGTCCACAGAGCTGCAGGACTTCATGTTGCAGTGATAAATGAAGCCACAGTGAAGAAAAATGTGACAGGAGCTTAAAAAGCGCTCAGAAACAGCTGCTTGGAGTTCAAAGGGTTAATCTGCTCAAAATAGAAAAAACTTTTTAAAAGCAACGAGGTTTCTTCAGGTCAAGTGAATGTATTCATATAGCTGGATATAAAGAGGAGTCTCTGTTGGTTACGTGATTGGTTTATATGAAGATAAACTAAATTAATGTGCATACTTTAATATACTGAAATGACTAAACTCAGTTAAACTTTGTGTTTCATCTTAGTGCACAAACTGTCATCAGATTCTGAAATATTGGTGCAAAAAAGTCATTTTTTCAGTTTGAATTTTGGAAAAATAAAAGAAAGAAATGCAGAATTCTGTAACTGGAAACTAGTTCAAACTTTGCTTGTGTGTCGCTCAGTAAAAAATGAGTCCATAGTGGTGAAAACAAAAAACTAACAGAAGCTGCTGCTTGGGAGTTCAGAGCGTTAAAATGTTCAAAAATCCAAAAAGTTTGACAACAGCAAGACTTCTGCACTTATTTCTCAAGAATTTTATATCTATAGCTGGATATAAGGAGGAGTCTCTGTTGGATATGTGATTAGTTTATATGATAATAAACATTTAATAACTAAATTAATGTACATATTATATTATATTAAAATGACTAAACTCAACTAAACTGTGTGTTTGAGCCTCAAAACTTCATTTAATCTTAATAATGCACAAACTGACATCAGACTCTGAAATGTTGGTGCAAAAACATCCTTTTTTTTAAGTTTAAATCAGTGAAAAAATGCAGAAATCTGTGCTTTCAAATAACCAAAATAGTTCAAACTGCTTGTGTGTCGCACAGAGAAACATTTTATCTTATTAATACGCAAACTGTCGTCAGATTCAGAAATATTGGTGCAAAAATGTCTTTTTTTTCAGTTTGAATCGGTGAAAAAAATGCAGAAATCTGTGCTTTCAAATACCCAAAATAGTTCCGACTGTGCTTGTGTGTCACTCAGCAGAAGATGAATGAAGCGTCTGCCGGGATGTCAGAGGATTATTCAGCATCGACTGTAACAGACCGACTTCTATTGTGACTCCTTCCTCTGAACAAACGCGTCAGCTGAGTGGAAACAGGCCCTTCCTTGTAGTTAGGTGAGCTTATTACAAACCGTTTGTACATTCTGCACGTGGCCGCTACAATGCTGCAGGTCGCCGGCTGACCGGGCGTGCTGCCGTCAGTCAGAGCCACGAGGAGGAGGAGGAGGAGGAGGATGTGTCGGCTCTTATGGCAGGAAGTCACTAACAGCATCCTCTCTCCGGCTTTCAAAGGCTTCGCTCGCTAATTGCCCTCCGTCCACAAGAACCGTGGGGTTTAAAGCCACTCGGCACTCGGCTGCTAACGCCGTCACTGACGCCAGCTCTGGAGGAAAAACTCAACACAAGTCGGAATAATTTGGCTTAAAGGGGAGTTTTTGTGCTTCATGTGATGTCATCTGTGTCCAAATAACTCAGAAACCAACAAACATCATAGCAAAGCTTCACCTGTTCCTGCTGTTGTGTTGTGTATTTATGTGTATTTCTTGTTTATTTTTAGAGTTTTTAACCAATATTCTCCATATTTACGCCCTTTTCTGCTGTAACTCTGCAAATTTCCCCACTGTGGGTGTAATTAAGGATTAATTGATTCCTCGTCCCTCCTATAGGCTGCTCATTATTTCTTTTCTTACACTGACTGTGCTATAAATTGATGCACAGAAGGCACAAACTGCTGCATAAAAACTCTCTGAACCCTCACATCCAGCGTGATGAGGAAACATGGGCAGATACAGGTTTTAATTAAAGGAACAGGAGAACGCCCGTGTTCACGTTCTCCATGACGTGAAGAGCTTCAGGGCGGGACGGCAGAATCACAACAACGCCGACAACAACTGGCCAATAAACGACCTTTATGAAGGACTTTTTAAGGTGGAATTTATCTTCAAATGGTGGAACTGTTGGTTTGGAATTAACGGAGAAGAAAAGTCTTTGAATTTCAGCTTTAAAACATGTTTTTTGTTATTCGCGAGAAACTTTGCATTCTACATGAAAAAGACTTAAATCTACTTAAAACATCGTTTTCTGCTAAAATTAAAGATTTAAAGTCGGCGTTTATGTAGAAAACATACATTTGCTCGTGTTGTAGGTGCAAATTTTCTTTGCATCCTGTGAGATAATCTACTTCAGAAACACTCTTTTCTGCTCACATGAAAGATTCCAGTTAGTGTTTATGGAAAAAGCCGAATTAATCAGTGTTGAAAATGTAAATAACAGAACTAGTTTTTTATTTCTAAACGTCAAAATTTTCCGTTTTGCTTTTTTCTTCTTGTGTTTTTTGTGCAAACTCGTACTTTTGGCACTTTTTTGGTTAATTATTCAGTTTTTATTGTTTATTACTCGTGTTGTAACTTCTGTTGTACAGCTTTATATAAAAAATGACACGTGTGCATATTTATTTTGTATTTTTGATTGGATTTGAACCCAATAAGCCTGATTCAACCTGGACCCAAACACCCCTCCTACAGCTTATTGATATTTCTATTTATTTTATACTGTACGTAGACTTTTTAATACTCTTTTACAGTTACAAACATCAGCCAATTTGCACCTTTATTGTAAGTATCAGTAGTTTTTGCACCTTTCTTTCTTCAACTAGCTCGATTTGCATGTTAATTACACCTTCTTTGCACATTGTTCGTTGTTAGATATTTGGAATTTCAATCTAAGAAACATCTAAAAAAAGCTGTTGTGGTGATTTCACTGATATTAAAGTAGCTCGGAGTCTGTTTCTTCACCGCTAATTAAGCTTAAATTGCTTTTTTCTCGGTCTAAAGTGCAGAAGCAAACTCCCGCCACACCCTGAAGCAGCATCAGTGTGCATGAAGTCAGAGAAGCTGCAGTGATGCAACTAACGCAACAAGTCTGCCTGTGTGGGTGTTTGGTCGTGTGTCAGATAAACTTGTTACAGATGTGTTACAGCTGTCAGAGGTGCGGCTGCTGCGGGAGTCGGTTTGGGCGTGTCGGCTTCTCCCTCGCTATCTCCCCGGCCTCGTCCCATGTCGTGTGTTTCTGGTGTCTGCGGGTTCCTCACCGTATGAAGCTGGTCTTGCCGGTGGAGTACTGGCCCACCAGCAGCACCATGGGCTTGTTGTCAAAGTCTGCGTCCTCCAGCGCCGGGGAGTGGAACTCGTGGAACTTGTAGCTCTCCTCCAGGGGCAGCAGCTTGGTCTTGTAGAGCTTCTTGAGGCCTTCGCTGACCGTCTGGAACACCTCCGGCTCCTTCTTCCTGCGGTCGTCGGTTCCCAGCCAGCTGAACATGATGGAGCAGGTCGACCTCCAGCAGGGGGTGAATTAGCAAAAAAAATTAAAATAAAAATAAAAAATGCAGTTTGCTGATGAGCCTACTGACCACTGAATGGGATTTCTAGTTTGAATCTCAAAGTGAGATTTTCCCACGTATATGATGGAAATGCAGTTTTCTGCAGGTTGATTTTAATGGAAATCAATATAAAAATCCAGAAAATAGCTTCTATGTCACATTAACTGCATGAAAATATGCACAAAAATGAAATATCAGCCTGTCCTCCTGCACTGGGTTCTGTTGTTCAGGTTCTGTTTAACAATTAGTCCGTGCAAATGTCTAATTAACTAAAAAAAACACACACACAGTCTGAGAAATCCACCTGATCCAGACAGCTGATAATTAGAATTATAATAATAATCAAACAGCGACTAGAAAGGCTGCATTCAGTCCTGCACTTTGTTCCAACAGTGGAGAAAATCCTAAAGCATCAGGCTCCACATCAGCGGATCCACCGGAGCGCAGGAATCCGCAGATGATGCACCGAGCTGCGGGTCACGGTTCCGTTATTGATCCGCTGCTCTGCGCAGGAAAAAAAAAAAAAAAACAAGTCAAGAAGCTGCGCAGAATAAAAACAACAACAACAACAGCGGGGTTCGGTGCCGCAGACGGACGGTGGCGGCGGTGTCACGGCTCGGTGCTGGATGTCGAGCAGCTGCTGTCCTGCGGCTCCATTTAAACGCCGAGTCGAAGGAAACCCGAACCCCGCCGGAAGTGCCCAACGCCTGGCAGCCCGACCCTCCGAGGCCCCGCCCCGCCGGTGGAGCTGAAGCCGGGCCGGGAGACGCCATGTTGGGGGAGGAGGCGGCGGAGGAGCCGCGGTCCAATCAGACTGCGCCACCTACAGGTCAGAGATGTTCCTGGAGATGGACTCTGAAGGTTCTAACGCTGGAGAACATCACTTACAAGTTCTGTTTTAGTTTAAAGCAAATGTTCAAATAACGTTTTAGGAATATTTGAATTTTCCTATAATGTTCCTATAAAGTTAATATAATGTTTATTTACCAACATTCAGAGGATGTTGTCAGGACCAGTTAATGTTCTGTCAGAACAAAGAAGGAACGTTCTCAAACCAGCATTAAACGTTTAAGGGATGATTTTTATTCCTGTGATTTAATGAACTAAACAAGGTGGAACATTCTGTCTGCAGTGTTCTGATGATGTTTCAGGGATGTTGTTGAGAGAACACATTATAGAACGTTTTCCTATAAAACATTCCCACAATGTCCCATGATAACAAAGAAGGAACGTTCTCAACCCAGCATTCAAACGATATTTTCTCGGTGTCGAATGATTTTTATATGACGTTCCTGTAATGTGATGTAATAACTAAGGTGGAACATTTTGGTTTGAGGATGTTTTGGGGATGTTCTTCAGGGAACGCTGTAAACAATGTTCTTCTATAAAACCTTCTTTCAATATTCCATGATAATAAAGGAAGAACATTCTCACTTCAATGTTAAAAAAATGTTTTCCAGATGTTATCAAGGCCTCAGAAAACAGAATATTTATATACAGAATGTTTCATAACGTTCCTGTAATATGATAATATTCAAGACATTATAGAACGTTCTTCTTTAAAAGTGTCTCCATGGTGATTTAAAAAAAAAAAAAATAAAGACAGGAGGAACGTTCCCAAACTCAACTAAACTTGAACTAATATTCAAAAACAGTTTTCCAGATGTTCTCAAGGCCTCAGATGGTTTTTATAAAACATTCCTGAAGTGTTTGGGGTTTTTTTGTAATGCAGAACGTTTTATAACGTTTCTGTAATTTGATGTATTGAAGGTGGAACATTTAGTCTTTTTACTGAGGAAACACAGAGAGAGTGAATCATCCATCCATCCATCATCTATGCACCGCTTAATCCTCATTAGGGTCATGGGGGGCTGGAGTCTATCCCAGACCCTGACTCAGGGTGAAGGCAGGTTCACCTGGACAGGTAACCAGTCTATCACAGGGCTACACTTAGAGACAGACAACCAAGCACACTCACATTCNTTTCCTATAATGTTCCTATAAAGTTAATATAATGTTTATTTACCAACATTCAGGGGATGTTGTCAGGAACAGTTTATGTTCTGTCCTAACAAAGAAGGAACGTTCTCAAACCAGCATTAAACGTTTAAGGGATGATTTTTATTCCTGTAATTTAATGAACGAAAAAAGTGGAACATTCTGGCTGCAGTGTTCTGATGATGTTTCAGGGATGTTGTTGCGAGAACACATTATAGAACGTTTTCCTATAAAACATTCCCACAATGTTCCATGATAACAAAGAAGGAACGTTCTCAACCCAGCATTCAAACGATATTTTCTAGGCGTCAAATGAATTTTATACGACGTTCCTGTAATGTGATGTAATAACTAAGGTGGAACATTTTGGCAACAATGGTTTGAGGATGATTTGGGGATGTTCTTCAGGGAACGCTGAATACAATGTTCTTCTATAAAACCTTCCATGATAATAGAGGAAGAACATTCTCACTTCAATGTTAAAAAAATGTTTTCCAGATGTTATCGAGGCCTCAGACAACAGAATATTTATATACAGAACGTTTCATAACGTTCCTGTAATATGATAATATTCAAGACATTATAGAACGTTCTTCTTTAAAAGTGTTTCCACAGTGATTAAAAAAAAAAAAAAAAAAGACAGGAGGAACGTTCCCAAACTCAACTAAACTTGAACCAATATTCAAAAACAGTTTTCCAGATGTTCTCAAGGCCTCAGATGATATTTGTGAGACATTCCTGAAGTGTTTTGGGTTTTTTTGTTATGCATAACGTTTTATGACATTTATGTAATTTGATGTATTAAAGGTGGAACATTTAGTCTTTTTACTGAGGAAACACAGAGAGACAATTTACAGTCACCAATTAACCTCAGCATGTTTCTGGACTGTGGGAGGAAGCCGGAGAACCCGGAGAGAACCCACGCTGCACGGGGAGAACATGGAGACTCCACAGAAAGATCCCGGGTGTCCTCACCGGGACGCTGCTCACCACCGAGCCACCTGCAGCCCCGAGAGTGAATCAGTGAACTTTTATTTACATCACACAGGTGAGCCGTCACACCTAGGATTGTTAGTTGCTTCCAGCTGTTTCCTCTGATTCACAAGAGACTTGAGGGCATTTACACACAATTACAGTAACTTCATTAATTAGTTTTAATTATAAATGATCCCCGACATGGAGACAGGATGAATCGCGCTCTAAAAGCAGGTCGCATCGTGAACTTCTCCTCACCTCCAGTTCCATGTTTACCGTTGACGTTTTCCACAAAGTCATCCAGAAGTCACTCAAATCTGACTCACATGTGAAAATATGACTTTGCTGCAAGGTTAACTACAACTGTTTACCAGGAAGGTATTTACAGTAGCGAGCACTTTTACTCTGATTTACTACTATGGAATGAGCGTCCTTGTTGTTACTTGTGCTGTAAATTTCATTGCTGGTGTTTGCAGTGTGACCAGCAGGGGGCTCCAAAATCATTTTGTAAAGAGGTCGACGTCAGGAATAAAAGGTATTCGCGTATCTTCTTTCAAATATGTCAGTATTCTGAATACTTGCTGTGTAAAAGCAGAAACCTGTCGTGAAAAAAAGAAAACACGGGAAACAGAATAAGCCTTTTACTTAAAAACACACCAGAAACAAGGAGATGCAACACATTCAGTTTTATATGTATACAGTAATTCTGTTGTGCAACAAGCAAAACTGGTAAATATCTATATTAATATGAGTGTTTCCAAAGAGTTTAACTTCATTCACTGCATCGAATGAATCATCACATCACGTGAAACCAAATGAGTCTCATAATTCCACCTTAAGACAGTCAAAGGTTTCCAGTTTACAAGGAGGCAGTTGCACCCGGTGACATTTTAATGCCCTTATAACGTGTCATTTTGAATCATAACTTCACAAAAGGACAGAACGGTAAACAGAGATATAAGAAAGAGGAACAAGATTACCAAAAGTACACGACAGTTTCCTTCATTTTCACACGTGTAATAAAACTTGCGCAGGTTTCATCCGAGAGACAAACAAGGAGGTACGAAAGTGCAGCGGAAAGTTTTCACCCTGCTGTAGTCGTCACATAATTTAATGGTTATTATAATCCTGTTCGTGTCGGTGGAATGCAGAAGTCACGGTAGCAAATAACGACGTCTGACATCTTGCAAATGACACACGATAAATTATGTTCACACGCGTCTCAGCCAGCTCAAATAAAAGCAAACAAACAACATGTGAACGCAGACAAACAAGACGACAGAGGGGGTAATTGATGGTTTCAATAAATCATGCTTTCAGATTGACCCGCTTAGAGGAAGTCGATGCATACTGCCAGTGAGTTAATAAAACACACATATATGGAGAATATGTAGGAATAAAGGAGCATAAAGTGCTATTGTTGTGTCAGTCTCAGTAGATTTGTGAAGCAGCGCCTCCTCCTCCTCGTGTTGACTAATTTGCTGAAAACTAAAGACTTCCCCTCTATAGATGTATTTTTACTTTAGGCAGTTTTGTTGGAGCAACCAGACGAGATGGCAAACCTCCACAAAGGGTTGACAGAAAATCCCATAGTTCTGGCGCGTAAATTGTTCATTTTTTTATGTTGATTTCTCATCAACGTGAGATGCATTTTTTTCGTGGTTATTTGGCTTTTTTAGAAATACTTGAATATCTGTAAGAATCCTCCGAGCGGCGATAAACCTGTTAAATGTCTGTGTAACTGAACTCTTGAGTTTAAATGACGAGTAAAAACTGTTTGAATCGTGTTACATTAGTCGATATAACCCTACAGGTACAAAGCGACAATGCGAATGGAGAGCAGCATTTGCTGCAGGATGTGGCTAAAATGTTTAAATATCTCCCTATTGACAATTTCCAAATCAGAAAGAAACAGAAGTAGAAGTTTTGCAATCATCAGCGATCACGGAGGCTCTCATAGGAATGAATGGTGTTCTGGTTTAGTCGTATACGAACTCTGAGCTATGCGCAAACCAGGTGTTAGACTGCACCAAAGCATCATGGTCCGCCATCTCGTCTGCAAGCAGGTGCTCTGGGGTTGTTACTAAATATTATTTCGATTAGTTTTAAGTTTTAAAATCTACTACAATGTTTGTTACACCACATTTAGTCAACTATAAAACCTGTCTTGATATTACAAATCCCCCTCGACTGTCTAACAGAGAATCTTCAGTGGAGACATTTAGTATGTAAATGTATTTGCATAAATAACTGCTTTTAGGAGTAAATATATCCTTACTGACATTTTAATAAACATGTGTGACTATCAAGGTAAAAAAAATATGGGTTGTATCTGACTTTTCTGACTTCTTTCCATTAAAAGTTCTTGCTATTATGTCGGCCACTTTGCATGTAAAGACAGCAGCAGTTCCCAGCGTCTCCACCTATCATATGACATTTACATAGAAGCCCAGCATGTCCTCATTAAAACACAATAGAGACTGTTAGAATAAAAGAGTAAAATAAGATGCATGTGAACAAAAAGTCCACCACAGACGATACAGTCAACAGGCACAAAGGTACAGTCCCCATTCCTCCCATCGTCACTATTTATAGTAGATTATAATGACTGCTGTTATCACAGACAGAGAAAATGAGGAATTATCGTCATCGTGATCAAACAAACTCTGTCCCAGTGTCTCATGTGGCGAGACTGACAATAAATCACAATTACCCGCAACTTCTGCTGCTGGTGAACAACCAAATAAACACGGATAGGCAGTGTACAGCCATGTAATAAATACAGTACGCTGTGGTCACATGGCCGCAAACTGCAACACGATAAGAAAATACCCAAGTAAAACTTCCTTTATGGGCTTTTTTGTGTTAAATTACCAGACCACAGTAAGTCCACAACAAATGTATAAGCATGATCAAAAAGTTCCAAGACTGTTTACGTCGCATCATGTGCGAACAGAAACTAGAGTCAACGGAACAAACGACGATGCAGCATCAACAACAGGACGTTTTCTCAACATAACCGAGTAGCCTGGGTGCCGAAACTTAAACAGACACAGGCTAAACACGTTAGTTAACACCAGCTGTGAACTGTTAAAATGCAGCTTAAGGGAAAAAATAAAACTTGTATTATAGTCCGAGATGGGAGTTAGGTCTCCGTTTGGGAAGGGCAAGTTGGTGGTCCATCACCATTCAGAGCCAACTAGAAGGTGGAAGAGATCCCTACCGGTCCGTTTGTATGGGAAGGATGTGTGATAGCAACCATTTAGTGGGTTGGTAACATCCAATATTGGTGCAAGAGGTGGGTTTGAAGTTGTTTTCTAGACTTTCAAGTGCTGAATTTGTCCCCCAGAGTCGGCCTGTCCGTGCAGAGTAACATCTGGAGGTGTCTGACGGGGTACACTTGGTGCAAACAACCTAAACTGTGGCGCAATGGCATGTGGATGTTCCAACATGGTTCCGATGGCATTTGGATGTTTTTGGCCACAACAGCACAATCGTTGCTCTTCACCAAAGTTCAAGTCCAAAGTTGTAATTCTACACCGAGGTCCATTCTGGATGCATCCAGACAACCCCCAAAGAAGGGATGGATGAACGGAAGAAAACGGATGGATGGACTTCCAGTGTTCCAGGAGAACCGGGAGCAGAGTATCGCTGCTACTTGACTACTTCAGCAGGGATGGTGGCCAAATTGAAGTCAAGGGTAGTTTGGGATTTTTATTAGCGCAGTCTTGGAACTTTTTGATCGAACCTTGACATTATTTAATGACAATTCTGGAAAGCCACGTGTCACACAGCGGTCCAAAATCGTCCGTTTTGTTTGGCAGACTTGATGGTCAGAAAAATACAAGAGAATAACACAAATAATATTTTTCTTAAAATTAAACTGAACACATAGTTTCCTTCAGAGTTGATCAAAGTGTGATTTCTTCATATGTATTTACAGTACGTTGATTACAGTCATTAGTTAATCAGTACACTGTCGACCACGACGAAAGCAGCAACATTCACGGACATAAAAGTAACGCAGCTTCAGTACGAAGTGCTCCCACAAGATTGATATTATCACATACTTATTTCTACTAAGTTTTTTCAGTAAATATGTTGATGAATATCATCTACTGATCCATAGAGATCGTCAAGTTCCATTTGGTCAAAATATCATCCACCTCCCACCTGGTTGCCCTGACTTTCTCCAATTGTCTTTGTGCCTCTTCTTCCTCAGAAGCTTGTCTGACAAACACGTTCTCCAACTTCAGCTCGCCCTTCATCACGTATGCCTCCTCATCCTCACCTCCCATCATGTCCGGCCTCCCTCTATATGGGAGCATCAACCCTCTGCCTCCACCGAACTCCGGCAGCACTAGTTTTCTGGTCTCGGGATCCCAGTTAACACAGATAGCTCCCTGCTCCTCCTCCTCCTCACCATCATCATCATGATAATCATCATGCGGGGCTGCTGCCGGCCTCACAATACCGTAATCATCTGGCAGCAAATCAGACTGATCAGAACGGGGCGTGTTTTGGACGTTCTGGGAGGCATAACCAGAGAGAAGAGGCACGTTCTCGTCTTTATCAACCTCTTTTTTCCAATCTGCTCTTACTCTCATCTCCTCATGAATTGTTTCCTCCCATCCTACCTCCTTCTTCAGGTTTAGAGGAACACCAAGGAGACCAGTTTGCTGGTTTTTGTTTATGAACAAACCTGGAAGCTCCACCTTTCTGTTGACTTCTGATGTCTGGCTCAGATTCACCTGTGACCATGCATGAACCTGCCCAGGTGTGCTCACCTCTGTCATGTGGATTGGTTTGCATGTGTGGGCTGATCTTGCCTGAGGAGCATAACCTCCGGCAGAGTGATCATCCTCCTTCGTCTTGTCTTCACCTCCCCGATGACTCCCGCCGTCTCCTTCGTCACATCTCCTATCGTTGATTTTAGGTGCCGGACTAACAAATCCGTAGTCGACCGACGAGTCATCCCAGTGTTCGCCAAGCAGTGGAGGTGTCTCGGCCCCCTGAGGGAAGTAGCTGGGTGGAGGAGCTGCACCTGTGATGCGTAGCTGTGGTTTGGACGGGTTTGATGTGGCGACGCGAGCTTCCGATAGCGAGTCGTTGTTGATGACGCTGATCAGGATGACGTTGAGCTTCTCGGGAGGGCACGCGAGAGGCGGCGGGTGGAAAGACGGTGGGTTCTGGAGGAGGAAAAGACTGATTATTAGCTTTGGAAACATTTCTGAGATTAATATGACTTGTACATTGGTTCTTGTCACACATTGGTCACTAAAATCAAACCTGTGGGTCCCAACAATAATGTTACTCTGAACTCCAAGTAGTTTCTGGGCGTTTTCTGGTCCTTTCAAGAAACTTGAATTTCTTTGGTTGTTTGCTTTACAAAAATTGAAATAACCTGGTATCAATAGCGTTAAAAAAAAAAAAGTCATAGGTGTCACCAATGCTGTAAAAAAGGTGGCTCTACATGTTATTAATATTTAGCTATTTTACATTTTTGGAACCTCTACAAATCTTTTCTCTCAACTCATCAGCTGTAGAAGATGTTTCACCGTGCTGAATGTATCTTGTAAGTCAATACTAGATCAAAATGACTCAAAATGGGTTTAAAATGACCATTTTTGAGTCTCTGCACATCAGCTGTAGAAAGATGTTCCACCATCAGATGTAGAAAGATGTTCCACCATCAGCTGGATGTATCTCCAACAATTGGCTCCTCTGTTCTCTGGTTCTGATCCATGCTGCATTTATTTATTGATCCAGTAGGTTGGATTTTCCTCTCAGTCTCTCTGGATGAAACACTGGCTACAATTCAGCCAAACAGTCCCTGAATTTTTGTCATGTGACTGTTGAGTTAGTTGAGTCAGTTATAACTTCTCGGCTCAGATTTTTATTTTTTTATTTTCACAGACTCAGATCCATGAGATCCAGATTCATGGACCATCGGAAAGTTGAAAATCTCATATTACTTTCTGTTTTTACAGTTTCTTGCTATTAAATAAAGCATTCCTTTAAAATCTGTTGCCGTTCATGTTGCAAAGTTCAATCCAGGCACAATAATAAGACAATAAGCTGTTTATGTCCAACCTGCTGAGCTCACATTCCAGATTAACATCATCTTATTTCACTTGCACGTGTTCTTGTTGAAGCTGAGTCACCCTGTCTTTAACTTGAATTGCTTTTTTAATTCTTATATTGCCTTTTTACCATTTTATTGCTCCTTCAACCTACTTTTATTTTATTTTTTTTTACGTCTGCATCTTCTGCTCATTTGTGTTTTTGCTCTGCTGTTCAGGTTTAAATGTAGTTAAACAGCCTGCATAGCTCGCATAGCATTTCACAGCCAAACAACAAGCGACGCAGGTTCGTCATTTAATTATCAGGGCGTGTGCACGTCTGAGAGTGTCGATGGTATTACCAGAATGTACGGGCTCTTCTGATCTTTTCCTGTCAGGTAGTGATGCAGCAGGTAGGCGGCCACCGCGATCAAACAGACGCACAAAGACGGAACGACGACACCCACAACCACCCACTGCATCTGCTCGATCACAGGGTCTGCATGGGACAGGAGGCGTCACATATAGAGTCACTTTCAACATTTCTAATGCATTGGCTGTAAACACTGTAGAGAAAAATCTGCAATCTTATGGAATCGTACCATTTTATTGGGCAGAATTGTATTTAAATATGTGAAAATATCATTAAAATTACAAAAGAAATCGACAGTAGGTTTACAGATCTAATGTAAAATGACAGAAAAGGTTGGATTTGATGTAAAGATGAACGTAAAAACTCATTAACCTAAAATTACCATAATATTACCATAACTATTATTATAAGTATTTGTAAAATAACGGTGGTTGTACTTCATTTACAAAGACAAATCCATTTATTTTAAGGGTTTTTGTACAATAATGATCTGTCAGTATAAAAGATTTCTAATATATTTTTATGTTGTCTGTAAAAACTCATATTAATCTTGATATCGTCTCATAATAAGAGTATTCTTGCAATTAGAAACCGAACTATAAATTTTACAGCAGTATTTAAAAAAAACATTCTGACACAGAAAATTATCAAATAAAGCCCAACTAATAAAGACATATTCATAGTCTGATCATTTGTAATATAACAGTATGCCACCATATTTATAGGTTATTTCACAGTTTCTATTCATAAATATGGTGCAATAAACATTTAAAAGCTAGAAGAATGGACAGTAAGGAAATATTAAGGCTTGGAATTGTATTGTAATCATGTCAAATTATGGTTATGTTTTGTTATTCTGCAGCCGTGTTTGATGCCTCGGCTGCTGGATGATTACTGTTTGTTGTTTTAACAGTGTGAGCACAGACAGTCAGCGAACTCAACACAAACACAACAAGGCGTCGCTCTTCAGCTTCTGTGTCATGTTTAATCACATTCCCGTCTTTCTACCTGCCAAACAGAAGTCGTGGTGTTACCTTTAGGCGTGGTTATGCAGTGCCTCGCCGAGGACTGGCACTGGATCGGCATGGACAGGAACGCGGACTGGGCCGAGAAGCAGTACTCGGTGCTGTAGTCCAGCAGCTGGTACCTGAGCGGACTGGCAGCCACCGAGAAGTGATGCTGCAAACACGTGGATCAGTCAGCAGTGACGTGGTGGAGGTTGTGTGTTTTATTTGCCAGAATTAGCTTACAGGGAATCCAAATGTTTTGGATTGTTGGGTGTTTCTGCCTTTGTGAAGCGCTATGAGATGACTTGTTGTTGTAAATATGCGCAATACAAATAGAATAGAATTGAAGTGAATTGAATTAATCCCTAGCATGTCCATGTCGGTATTAGCATAATCAGCATAATTAGCATTAATCACAATATAAGGAGGAAGTATGAGTCGATATATGACTAAAGAAGACAGTATTTCCTCACATTCCTCCAATGTTGGTCATGTATTTTTTAGCCATGGGAGGGACTTTAGCTGTACTTTGTTTGTACTCACCACCTGGTTGCGGTGGCTGTTTTGGATGGAGAGGTTGTAGGTCATCTGGGGGTACAGCGTTGCCATGGAAACCACCGGGGTGTGGTTGTTGGGCTGGAACCTCATCGGTCCCGTCAGGGTGACGATGACGCTGTTGTTCTTCAGTCTTTCCACAGAAACCAGCGGAGGGCCGAAGCTAGCTGGAAGAGTCGACAGAAAACATCTGGTAAATTTTTAATATTCTAAGTATAAATAATGATTCTGAGGAACAAAAAACTTTAAAAATGTGATGTATTTGCTTAATCTTGTTTCCCTTTCATTGGTTTGCCGATGCAAAATATGTCAGTTAACAGCAACATATTCAGTAAGTCCTCATTGTTGCAAAAATAGAATTGATTTTCTTTTATTTCTTCTGTATTTTACACAGACTAAATACAATATTAGTTCCAAATGACCCTCATTTCACTAAACTTATTCAAAATGGCAAAAAAAGAGTCTAAAATAACTTTAAACTTGTCTAAAATGTGTCTAAGCCGAGTTTGAAATTGTCCAGAATGACATAACTTGTTTAAAATGGCTTAAAAATGTTTTAAAGACTCAAAATGACTTGAAATGCATCCAATATGAGTAAAAACAAAAATGTCCAAAATGACCCCAAATGTTAAAAAAAAATAAGAAAACTTGAAATTTTTGTAATTTGAGTTTAAAATAGTCCAAAATGATATAATTTGTTCAAAATGGCATAAAAATGTTTAAAATGACCCCAAAACTTTTTCAAAATAACTTAAAATATGTCCAATATGAGTTAAAAATCTTTTGAAAATGACACCAAATTTTTTAAAAAGTGAGAAAATAAAGAAAGAAAAAAGAAAAAAAT